TGTATGTGGCTGGCACCTTAGCCACTTGAGTCACAGGCGCCGAGCCCATAAGTGTAAATATTGACAATGAAAAAAAAATCTCAGTATTATTATGAAAATAGTTTTGACATCACAGACTCTCTGAAAGGGTCTGGAGAACCCTGGGGTTCACAGAATACCCTTTGAGAACCACTACTATATAGGTTACACAGATATAATCAGTTTCTGAAAATTCACTTATGTGCACTTTTCCTCATATACATTAGACTTCAAGAAAAGCTTTATTTTCTAATGTTGCAGGAAAACGGTGAGAATTAAAACAGACAGACACTTAAACCAGCAATATAGAGGAAGGAACCTTTTATTGCCAGCTAGAACCCAGGTGCCTCAAGGCGAAAAATGCTGAGTTTGTTCATGCGAACTCTTTTATACTTTTTTTCTTCAGCTCAGTATCAGCTGCATAGTTACAGTTACAACAAAGGGTACAAGGAGTTAATGATTATATTTCTCAAGGAACCAGGGTGCTGTTATCTGTTACATAGTTTTACAAGGTTATTTCAGCTCAGTGTAAAGTTTGTTCTTATCTTTAGAGGAGGAGATCTTCTGCAGCTGCCTGCTGCTTTCTCAGGATCACTAAGAAGTATAAGATTTCTCCCTTCTCACTAATATATAGTATAAAACATGGGGGGGGGGTATTTTTTTGAGACAGTCTCACTGTTGCCCCAGGCTGTAGTGCCTGTAGTGCCATCATCGCTCTCAGCAACCTCAAACTCCTGTGCACAAGAGATTATTCTCTCAAGCAGTTAAGAGTAGTGAAACTACAGGCATGCACCCCCACACCTGGCTAATTTTTCTATTTTTAGTAGAAGTGGGGTCTTACTCTTATTCCAGATGGTCTTAAATGCCTGAGCTCAAGCAATCCACCTGCCTTGGACTCCCAGAGTGCTAATATACCTGAGCTACCACACCCAGTTTGTTTTATTTTTTTATTTTTTTTAAAGACACAGGCACATACCATGACAAGGTAATTATTTATTTTTTTTAATTTCACTTTTTTTAAGTGTATTTTTTTTAAGAGTGTCTCACTTTGTTGCCCTTGGTAGAGCGCTGTGACATCATAGCTCACAGCAACCTTAAACTCGGGCTTAAGCAATTCTCTTACCTTGACCTCCCAAGTAGCTGGGACTACAGGCGCCCACCACAGTACCTGTCTATTTTTTTGTTGTAGTTGTCATTGTTGTTTAGCAGGCCTGGGCCAGGTCCAAACCTGCCAGCCTCGTGTATGGGACCAGCACCCTAGCCACTGAGCTAAAGGCACCGAGCCTTTTAAAAATTTTTTTATCCTTTTATTTTTTGGAGATGGAGTTTCACTGTTACCCAGGTTGGTCACCAACTCCTAGCATCAAGTGATCTTTCTGCCTCCACCTTGCCTCCCGAAGGTGCTGGAATTACAGGTGTGAGCCACAGAGCCTAGCAGCCAAGAATTATTTCATAATCTCAGAGTGGTTAAGACCTTCCTAAGAATGGCACCTCAGAAGACATAAAAACAAAAGGCTAATAAATTTTACTACCAAAAAATACTTTCTGCGTAGCAAAAAAGACCAATAATCCAAGAGGAAAAAAGGGTTAAGAACATTAACATTGGGCTAGGCGCCCGTAGCACAATGGTTATGGCGCCAGCCACAAGCACCCAGGCTGGCAGGTTCAAACTTGGCCTGGGGCTGCTAAGCAACAATGACAACTGCAACAACAAAAAATAACCAGGCATTGGCTCGGCACCTATAGCTCAACCGGCTAAGGCGCCAGCCACGTACACCTAAGGTGGCGGGTTCGAATCCCCAGCCCGGACCCTCCAAACAACAATGATGGCTGCAACCAAAAAATGGCTGGGCGTTGTGGCAGGTGCCTGTGGTCCCAGCTACTTGGGAGGCGGAGGCAGGAGACTCGCTTGAGCCCAGGAGTTGGAGGTTGCTGTGAGCTGTAATGCCACGGCACTCTACCCAGGGGGACAGCTTGAGGCTCTGTCTCCAAAAAAAATAAATAAATAAATAACCAGGCATTGTGGCAGATGCCTGTAGTCTCAGCTACTCAGGAGGCTGAGACACTCTACCAAGGGCGACAAAGTGAGACTCTATCTCAAAAAAGAAAATAAATAAATATATACATACATAAATAAAAACACTATGTTAAAATTGTTTTTAAACAGGAGAAAGATGTATGATAGGGAGATATGCTGGGTTCGGAAAACATAGAACCCCCAGAATCCTACAGTAAACACTTCATACTAAGGACAATTAATAAAAGATTTTTTTTTAAGGTACAGTCTCACTCTGTTGCTCTTGGTAGAGTGCTGTGGCATCATAGCTCACAGCAACCTCAAACTCTTGGGCTCAAATGACTCTCTTGCCTCAGCTTCCCTAGTAGCTGGGACTACAGGCCCCTGACAAAATGCCTGCCTATTTTTAGAGATGGGGTCTGGCTCTTGCTCAGGCTGGTCTTGAAAGGGTGAGCTTAGGCAATCCACCCACCTCAGCCTCCCAGGGTGCTAGGATTACAGGTATGAGCCACTGTGCCCAGCCTAATAGAAGATTTTAAGCAGAGAAACAGAGCCAGATTAGCTTCCCCCAAACATGGCCACCTATATGGATGACAGCCTATCGTTTAATACAGAATTTAAAGAATTTAAGAATCTGTACTACACATATATTATATATTCCTCAGAAAAAGGATCTGAGATGCAAAGATATAGGTCATGTGATTTGCCTAAAGCCACTAAGCTAATAAATGGCAAAACCAGGCCTTTTTGCTTTTGGCTTTTAGCTCAAAGGAGGCCAAGGTGCAACTTTCTTTGTTAGTCCAGAACCTGGGTTCATCTGACACCAGTCACCTCTACCAAGCCGCCTAAATTTAACCCCAACGAGATCAAAGTCATGTACCTGAGGTGCACCAGTAGCAAAGTCAGTGCCACATCTGCCCTGGCTCCCAAGATGGAACCATGGATTTGTTTCTCCACAAAGGTTGGTGATGACATTGCCAAGGCAACGGGTAACTGGAAGGGTCTGAGGATTACAACAAAACTGACTGGCCAGAATAGACAGGCCTAGATTCAAGTGGCACTCCTGCCTCTTCCCTCATCATCAAAGCCCTCAAGGACCACCATGAGAGGCTTGACACCCATAGCACAGTGGTTATGGCACCAGCCACATACACCCAGGCTGGTGGGTTCAAACCCACCCTGGAGCCAGCTAAACAATGACAACTGCAACAAAAAATAGCCGGTGCAATAGTGGTCGGTTGTAGTCCCAACTACTTGGTAGGCTGAGGCAAGAGAATCACTCAAGCCCAAGAGTTTGAGGTGGCTGTGAGTAACCATCAAAAAAAGGAACCACGGAGAGACAGAAAGAAACAGAAAAATATGGCTGTGCCTGTAGCTCAGTGAGTAGAGCTCCGGCCCCATATACCGAGGGTAGAGGCTTTGAACCCAACCTCAGGCCAAACTGCAACAAAAAAAAATAGCCAGGTATTGTGGTGGGCGCCTGTAGTCCCAGCTACTTGGGAGGCTGATACAAGA